TCCAATTTAGAAATGAAGACATTGCATTTTTTGCGAAATATGTTGAAGCATTGTGGATCCAGCTTTTTTTTATCAACAGCAAAGCACAAATAAAGAAAGCAAAGATTTTTACATCGTTCGGATACCAGGTTAATGTAATGACAAAAAAATGAATATTTAATGACACTGATTCACATAATCAAGTATTTTTCGAGTATTTGGTCTAAGAATTGATGGAAAAGAGTGTTGTTAATATTAATCCTTATGCTAATAATAGAATATTCAACACCTCAGGCTAGTCTAGACTAGATCCTTGTTGAAAAACTGAGACAATTACGCTTGCACCTTGCAGACAATAGAGTTAATTAGCTTGCACACACCTCAGCCAATTCTGACCGATTCTTTGATGTTCCAGACATGTTTAAAATTTTGCGAAATACTTCCTTTAGCCAAAGGAATTGTTTGTCAATTTAGGGCTTGTGTTTTTTGAGTGTAGTAAACTTGCACTACTTTTATATACATTTATTAGAATTTCTGACATCGATAAGGTGTTCATCAGTATAAGATAGTTTATATGTGCGTATTCGATTCAACGCTGGTGCAGTTCAGCAGCGAATATCCAATTATCCTTTATAATCGGCTCGATGATCCCCACAAGACCCATCCAGGCACTTTTAGCCATGCTGGCACCCACTGTGCCGTCTGTTTATAACCAGAATGAGAAAGCAGGAAAGTGAGGCTACGAAGGTTTGGCGGATCGCGACCTACAAAAAATTGTACACTTGATTTTTTTAAAGTTAAAATAAAACAGAGTTCACCGTCAGTATCCCGGAAGCCATATTCGCTGCCCATATCTGCAGTTATTAGAATTCGGCCACTCTTTTCCAATCGTCGATCATCAGATGCCAAAGCTACAATAGCTTTTCCAGGATATTCTGTTGTTTCACCGTCACTGAACATATTGAGGCGCTAAAAAAAGCATAATTACGAACAATCGAACCCGGGAAAAGTGAAAAATCACGCAAAGTGTTTTGGCTTAGATTAAAGCAATAAGATTCTATTTGGATGCCCGAGCTATCCGTTTCAGTAGAAGAAAATATAGAACAAGTCAGCAACCTCATCCTTTCTCATATCCATCATATTAGTGATTAATTCTGTGCGGACAGCTCCTGGCCATATGGACACCACACAGACATTTTTCGGCTGGAAAAAAGGATGCGTTGAGGTTCGTGTCAATCAAACACTGACAGCGGTAAGAATTTTTCACCTTGAGTTCAATCGCCATATCGGAGGACATTCTGTCCAGTGCTTGCTTTCCAACTCCATATGGTACATTGAACAAGTATCTGGTTTCGTATGCTACATAAAATGAAAGGTTAAAAAATGATGTTTCTACCTGAGACCACCAGCCGAACTGATGTTAACGATAAGACCGCTGCCATTGTTTGCCATCATTCGTGAAGCATACACGGAACAGTAGTAGTGATTTCTAAATCATTACAT